AAGGCTAGCCTGGGCTATATCTCAAGCATGTCTCAAAAATAGAACAAAACCCTGCTATGATCAAAGAAGTATGATCACTCCAAGTGTAAACCTGAGCCTTCACCCGTTTCTGCTGTTACTACAGCACAGAAAACACCAGGGTGGGGACTCGGCCCGGCAGGGAACGGCACGTGCCACCAAGACTGACAACCCAAGTTCAGTCCCTGGGATCCCCATGGTAGAAGTTGAGAACCAACTACAAGCGTTGTCCTTGGACCTCGACATTCGTGTGTACACACATACATAACTGCAACAGAAATTCACAATCGCTAGTCTTCGTGCTGCTGCAGACAACAGCCTCCTGCACTTGAGGCGAGCAGCGCACCGTCCAGCTACAACCCTACTTCTCTTTCCACCATTGACAGGGTCTTGGTAAGTTGCACAGGTTGGTCTCAAACTCACTCTGTAGTCCAGACAGGCTGACTTGCCTCAGCCTCCAGAGCAGCTAGGCTAACAGGTCTGAGCTCCCAAATGCTTCCAGCAAGCATTGTTAGGTGGGTGCTGGTGCCTTAACTTCCTGCCATGACTGCAGGACGTGGGCTCCATTTCAGTATCCCTGAACAAAAGCATTTCTCTAATGCTAGCCTCACCCAAGGTCCTTCAGTTCCACCAAGGAAGACAAAAGTGGACCCACCCACCATGGCCGGGCAGGTCTCTCCTCCACACCGATGGGCTTCCCCTCTGTTCCAGTAGGCTTCCTGTTCCAGGTGTCTTTATGTTTCCCTTGGACCACTGAGACCTTTTGTGCCGTTCCTGAGCTTGATTGCTGCATTGTGCCCAGTTTATTCTTTGTTCTATTGCTTATTCCTCTGGGGGCAGCTACACAAATATCAAGCCCTGGCACTCCTGCTGTTGTTAGACATTTCAGCTCATGTGTAGTAACGGCTCAAGTGCTTTCCAAAAGACACAGAAATAAACAATTTCCCCGAGTTTCCCTTTGAGAGTGGACATTGGGTGTGGCTCAGTGTCAACTGAAGTCAAATGCAA